AATGGAGGAAAGATAAGGAGGGTAGAACGAAGTTACCAGATCAAGGGTGAATGATGGTGGACGGGGCAGGCGGTGCATTCCAGGAGGAGAGAGTAGTCGGAACACAAACACCACACAAAATCTCACAAATGTTGAGTTATTGACTCTAAAATCAAATAAAAAAACTGACTCAACCGAGGAGAAAAAGAGAAAGAAATGCAAACCGACTGGTTGGGTTGCCTCCCAACAAGCGCTTCTTTCACGTCGTGAGCCAGACGATGGCTCTTAAATTTCGGTCCATGCTAGAACCTCCTTGAAGTTGAGTTCTTGTCGATGAGGTGGAGTCTCAAGTCACGAGCATGTGGTGTGGCAGGTGATGAAGGCTCATGCACTTGATGCAGATGAAGTCTCCACCCTCGAGACCTCTTCTTCTCTTCTCTCGTCTCATTGCCCCAAACCAGATATGACAACATCGATTGGCCACCATCGCTTCCACCAAGAGGGACCGATGTCGACGTGGCCTTGGTCTGGGAAAGAGACACTGCAAATGGGTCCTTGCCAAGCAGCTCCTCGAAGTTTGGTGGAGATATCACATGTAACTCATGGCCGGTGCAGGCCTCTTCCACCTCAACTCCGTCCTCAGCCTGGACGCCAATTGCTTCTTCAACCTCCCTTCCTTCTTCATGTGGTATCACCCCTGGGAAATGATCAAGAACTCCTCCTGCTTCACTTTTGTCATCCTCCACAACTTCTTTCTGCACCCTTTCTTGCTCTTCTTCTTCTAGCACGGATTGGAGAGCAAGTCGCCATGTAATTTCTTCAATGAGATCATCTTGCATCTCCTCACTCGGGCCCAGCATATCAGAGCGAAAATGGGGACAGTTGTGATCTACCAACCAGAGGATACACTTGATCATGATTATCATGGGAGCTTTCCGTGACAACTTCTGCATGCTCCTGAACATCCTCATGATTGCCTTCTTCTTCCTCCTCCTCTACTTGTATGGCAGCATAAAGGTTGTCTTGAGAAAACTGTGCACAAGCTTTCTCAATAACCTCTATGTGCTTCTTTATGCTCCAAAGGGTATCCTCTGTTTCACGGGGAAAGGAGAAGTCAGTTTGGGCCATGGCCTGGATATGAGGATCCATCTCGGGAAAGGATCTCTCAGGTACTCGAGCAATCTGCTCCACGAGAAGCCTCAAGTGATAGTTTGGATCTGGCTGTGGAGTGTAGCATGGCTCTGCAGGATGGCCCATGAAGGCCGCCATGGGTAACTCCAGCTCCAATAGCCCTTCTGGTTGTGGGAGAAATTCTTCTCGGCAATGAGGTTGTTCTTGATATGCCCAGGGGCCTGATTGTTCTACGTAGTAAGGGGATTGGTACTGGAACCCGAATCCATAGTCTTCTCCTCCTTGATTGTTGTAGGGAGTCTCGGGGTAGTACCACTCGGATGGTGGTGGATACCCCCAATCGTTGGAGAATCCATGAGGATCCATGATTCAGATCTACACCAACAAAAATGAAAACACCCAAGTGAAAAGCAAGTGTGGAAAAGAAAAGAAAAACGCTAAAGTAACAAACTTCTGCCTTTCCTAATAATCTAGAGAGTCCCCGGCAACGGTGCCAAAAACTTGACACGCTATGACACAACACCTAACAGTGGCCAAGTGTAACCAATGAAAGGGACTGCAGTATAGTGGCACAAGTAATAAATATCGAATCCACGGGTCTCTAGAGTTACTATTACTCAGCTTCAGTTCATTATCTAGCAAACTAGATTAAGGATTGATTTACTAAACTACTCTACTAAATACAAGTTGGGAACTCTACTAGGTATGATTCCCCCTAGCTCCTCAATTAGGTCCAAGTTGCAATTTCTTTTGGTAAATCTACTGTTGATTAAACTGCGGAAGATCCTAAATTAACTTGGAATCTCATAAGCTGACCAAGCCCTCTTAGACAGAATACCCAGCAGGCAACTAGCCTTCACCGGGATAGACTGCTAAGGCGATTCACACAGATCTCCACTATTCGAATGAATTCCAGTACAAAGCAGTGAATTGATTGACTCTCGCACTACCAATTCACCACTATCAATCAAGGAAGCTCTCTTAACCTAATCAGATTCTATCTATCATAGGTTAAAGCAGAAATCAAGGGAAGATGATCAGGCTTAAATTGACTCTATAAATCATGCCTCAATCGATTATAATCAAACAATATAGCATCCAAAACTTCATACAAGAAAGATCCTAACACATGGAACTAGGGTTCCTCAAAACCTAAGTGAAGGGAAGTTACTCCATAGAGAAGAGAGAGACTGCAGAAATCTGATCTAGATCTTCAATCTCTATCTCCAAGCTTGATTCCCGAGCTCCAATGGGGAGTTAGGCTGATAGCAAGCCTTTAAAAGGAACAAGACAAGCAACGAGATAAATGATGTAGAGGTTGAGGTTAGATCAGGCATGCTATACACCTGTCAAGCGCAAGCTAGAGGACAAGGTATGAGAAGGGGTTGAGAGACCCTGCAAATTACCATGATCAAGGAGAATCAGAAAATCGTGGAATTTCAAGGAATCCGTTGGGAAAGTCTAAAGTGGGAACTAGAGGGCCAAGAGCGGGAGTCTCGGAACCAGCCGTAGGAGTAAATCATTCAATCAACCGGGTATAGACAAGCAAGTACAACGTTCATTAGAAGTTCTAATGAAAGTTGGAGAATTCGAGGAAGAGTCTAAACGGTCGTAATGAAGAGAGTTTGCGAACAATACCAAGGAAGAGCAAAAAGGCCAGAGGGAGTTTGACGAGATTTCAAGAAGTCAATGGGTCAAGTCTCAGGTGACTTGAGGTCAAGAAGCTAAACAAAGAGGTACGATGAGGGAAAGCATTATCGAGGAGGAAAAAGAGAAGTTACCTTATCCAAGGTGCCCCACTCTGAGTGGGCGCGGCATAGTAGGAGGGCTCCAGAGGAGACAACTAGTTAAGGATGAAATAGGAACGCTTAGTTAAGCCACTAAGAATCCTAACTAAGAGACTAAGTTTATGTACAAGATTGATCACCAAAAGAGACATGGAATGAGTTATGTTAAAGGTTACCAAGGGCAAGCCACCATTGGAAGTTGTGACCTAAAACAACAACGAGAAGATACTCAACAGAGGTTGGTGACCAAATATAGTACAAGCAACAACAGAAGAGTTGTAGTTTGGTGGTAGTAAAAGTAAAGAAGCAAGGAGAACACCATAGGATGATACAGAAAGAAAATGGTGGTCGTCGACCGAACGATGTATGCGTCAAGGAATATAGCTAGGACGGGCCACAACAAGAGTACAGCAGACAACAAGAAAGCACTAGGTTGATTACCAGTAGAGAACAGTTGATCCATAGGAAGTCCATTGAGAAATTTCGGCCAATTGTAAGGTGGAATCGTGGTCGTCAAGAATAGTCAAAGGGTGAACCTTATAGGTCAAGGTACATAAGTGAGAAGAGAATATGAGAACCTAGATGACTACATCGAGAACAAGGGACATCTAGAACTAGCGAGTAACATCAAAGAGAAGAGTCACGAGTAGAGAGGTAATAGGGATATGAGTTTAGGGAATCTTATAGGGTCCCCAAAGTGAAGCCAAGATCGCCTATGCGGGTGAAAGGTGTCGATCTCTTGGATAAAAATTTATTGGACGGGGAAACCGTACAATCAATTTCAGCTAGGGTCCGAGAGTAGCAGAAGGGATAGTATAAGAACATAAAATTCAAGCAGCGATAAGTAAGTACTGAGTTAGGCGCCAGGAGTGAACAAGTAAGCCAGAGAGAATGCCATGATTCTTGAAAGGAATCAAAAAGGTGATCGCAAGCTAGAGAAAGATGCAAATGATGCCTCTAATGCATACAGAAGGTAAAAGCTGTAATATGAGGTTTCAGAGTTAAGCAAGAAGTAACGAGGAGATGACCACTCAGTTTGTGGTTAAAGGATAAGGCGAAGCATCAAAGAAGAAAGTAAGAGATACAACGTTAGGAGGTACAACGTCCTAGGTCACCTATGAGGTCAACCCCATACGAGAGTTACGTTAAAAGAGTTTTACCACCTTACTAGATGGAGGATAAGTTGCCGTCAGTGAACTTGGGGTTGGAGAGGGGCATTAACTCCTCATGTACCGAACAATGGATAGTTATCGTTCCTATACATGTACAAGGTGCAGTCGAGGTAATGTGAGGGGTTAAGAAGCCACAACAACATTGAAGTTGTAGGGAATGGAGAGAAGGATTTTAGGTCATGTCGTATAAGTTAAAGGAAATAAAAATCCGCGAAGTGAAAAGGATTACCACAAGCAATGCTTAGGGTAATCACAGTGGACAAATTTTGAGGGCGAAATTTCTATAAGTGGGGAGGAAATGTGATACCTCGACTTCGATAGGTTCAACATCAAGTACAGAATCAGTTGGACCAAATAAATTGAGCCGAAATTTTGTCTCATCACACCCTGGGCCCAAGTTGGAAATTTTTGAAAAGGGCAATGAGTCACTCAACCTTATTCGATGCTACCAAGCTAGATGAGAATATATGTTATGGTCAAGAGTACATATAAGAACTATCGTAAGCTATTCAAGACAAGGTAAGGGCACGCCATTGAAGTTCATTTAGAAAGAGTGAAATCTTGAGCCAAAGAAGCACGAGAATGAGGAGTATGGAAGGATGAGCTCGATCAAATTTCAGGGACGAAATTTTTATAAGGGTGGAGGAAATGTTACACCCCCGCTCTTCCCAAAAGTCAAAATGACTATTATACCCTTGGGTCAAGTTCCACCATTTTATCGATGAGGATTAAAAATGGGAACTATCAGTTCTAGCGGTGTCAAATTTGGACATAAAATGAGAAAGTTACGGACGTTAATTGAGTTTCGGAATAAACTCACCCGTAATTTGTGAAATGCCCAAAATACCCCTGGAGTTAATTAAAACCCAACCCCAACCCTAATCTCACATCCCCTCGGCCTCACCCCAAACTAATTAAAGCCCCCAACGTACAGAAGGAAATAAACCCACCACCACCAATCTCAATTATCACCTTCCTTGAGATATAGCCGCAAAATCAAGAAAGACAAAACCATATATCCCAAGAAAAATACGATCCACAATTCGCCCTGGCCACAAAGCTAATGCAGCCAGACTTCGAGCGCCTGGTTGACAATCTCCCCCAGCCAGTTGACTTCATGGTGTCGGATTCCTTCCTATGGTGGACTTTGGAGTCTGCGAACATGTATGGATTCCCGAGGTTTCATGGATTAAGTTGACCAAGAACGACTTCGAAAGGGATGCTGTGGATTCGGAGATTGTAATCAAGTCGATAACGGCATCGAAAGGCAGTTATGGGTACGTTATCAATACCTTCTATGAGCTTGATCCGGTCTTTGTGGATTCATTTAACAACGTCATCACCAATGGACCTAAGGCTTGGCGTGTTGGACCACTCTGCCTAGCCAAGCCACCAACACCGGTTAAACCCGACATTCATCAGAAACCCAATTGGATTCAGTGGCTGGTGAGAAGTATGAGCAGAAAAGTTAAGTTCTTCTCGTTGCATTTGGTTCACAAGCTTGGGTTTCAACTGAGTAGCTGAAGGAAATATCGTTGAAATTTTTACGAGTAACTCACCTTAAAGAAGGTGAAGTCGTTTTAAGTGTTTTTAGTCACTAGCGTCAGTCCGTTGCCATTAGAGATTTTCAGATAGAGCAGCAGTTATGCTCTTGAGATCTTTGAGACAGAGTAGCAGTTATGCTCTTGAGACTTTTAAGATAGGCAGCAGTTATGCCCTTGAGAATCTTGGTGAAGAGCCACCACGATAAGTTGAAGATGTTAGGGGGATGAATCGTTACGACTTCCTTAACTAAGTTTAAGTTTATGGAAAGCCTGAATGGCTTCTCATACGTATGAGTTGGCAACCGGACTAGTAAGTGAGGGATCCCCGTGTCAGTCAAGTTTTAAGTCAAGATTTGAGCTTTAAGAGAGGAGAGTAACTTCAACTCCTTCAAAGTTTAAGAGTTAAGATTTTAAGATTTGAAGTACAAACAACTGTCACTGGTTAAAGTTAAGTGTTTAAGTAAAGTACTAAAGTATTAGAAGTATTAAAACGTAAGGGTGTAGACTGACCCCAACTCACTCACCAGGCCTTAGTAAGGGAATGAGGCACAACCAGATCGGTAGCAAGGAGCAGTTAGAGAGCAGCGAGTTCAAGAGGAAAAGTTCGAGGGCAACAAGCTAGAGGAGGGCGGTGCAAGCGTCACAGAGGATGCCTAGTTAAGATTTTTCAGTAGCAGCAACGAAAGAGACTACTTAATTATTTTCGTTTTATGATTATGAGTATAGACTGGAGATCAGATTGAGATTTAAAGTTTGAGTTTAATTTGCCCACGTGTTAGGGTTTTGCTTTGAACTACAAGTGTGTGTTTTCAGTATTTTATGTATGAAAATTTTTCCCGCCGCAATTTAAGATTTGAGTATTTTATTTATCAAGAACATTTTAGTAAAAGTAGTACCCCGCCGGGTTAGGGACTTACTATCCAAGAAGTTGATTGGGAAGGGTGAGTTACGAGATGGACTTTACTATCTGAATTTGTTTGGAGTTTGCCAGGTTCGATCGTGTGCGGGAACTAGGCAAGGCGAAGTCTCTGATATGTTGTGGCATGCCAGGCTGGGGCATCCTTCCTCGACCAAGCTTCAACAACTCCAGGATGTTTTGGCTATTTCTTCTATTTCAAACCAGTCTTGTGATTCTTGTACTTGGGCAAAACAGACTCGACAGTCTTTTCCTACCAGCACTATTCGGACAAATCAGTGTTTTGAGATGATACATGTTGACATTTGGGGTGGTTATCATACTCCATCGCTTAGTGGGGCACATTATTTTCTTACTGTCGTTGATGATTATAGCCGTGGTGTTTGGGTTTATCTGCTTTGTTTTAAATCTGAGGTGGGGCGATATTTAATGATGTTCACTCAGTTGGTGCGCAAGCAGTTTGGCAAAACCGTTAAGAGAATCCAGGCAGAAAACGGCCATGAGTTTATACTCACATTTTGCAGGGTTTTTATGAGGAGGAAGGGATCCTGCTACAAACCTCATGCACAGACACACCGCAGCAGAACGGTGTGGTCGAGCGCAAACATCGGCATCTCCTCGACACAGCTCGTGCTTTGCGGTTTCATGCATCTCTTCCCCTCCGTTTCTGGGGCGAGTGCGTACTCACCGCTGCATACTTGATAAATAGACTGCCTACGGTGGCCACTCATCGCACTCCCTTTTTGGTCCTATTTGGTAAGCTGGCTCCGTACTCTCATCTTCGTGTGTTTGGGTGTCTTGTGTATACTAAGGACACGCACGCCTCGCTTGATAAATTTGGCAAGCGAGGCTGTGCCTGTGTGTTTATTGGCTACGCCTTAATCTAGAAGGGTTACCGCTGCTACGAGCTCAGCACGCGGAAATTTTTGACGTCACGTGACGTCCAATTTCATGAGGATCGGTTCCCCTTCCAAGCCCAGACTTCCAGTCGGCTGCACTGGATCCCTCGGCCAGTCTTCTCGTTGCCAGCTCCCGATTCAGATGACGAAGATCTGCTGCTTGATATGGGAGCTTTGAGTTCCACGGCTGGCCCAGACACTCTTGAGCCCGTTTCGCCAGGATCGCCCGCGGTTGCTTCCTCACCCATTACTAGACCGCAGCCCACAAGCGCATCAGGGCCCTCTCCTGCCTCGGCCCACTTTGAGCAGCCCATGCAGTCGCCGCCCCAACCCGTTCCTCGACGCAGCAACCGGGTACGGGTTCGACCCAAACACCTGGGTGTTTACGACACCACTTATGGTCCCCTTGAGAGCTCTACAACAACAAATCAGGGAAGTATCTCAACAACCGTTACCTATCCCCTCTCTGCTTTTGTTTCTTATGAGAATTTCAGTCCCACTTATCAATCTTTCTTGACTACTGTTACTTGTTCATTTGATCCCAAGAACTTTCAGGAAGCCTTTGCTGATCCCCGCTGGCGCGAGGCAATGGAAAAGGAAATTCAGGCCCTTTACCAAAATGGGACTTGGAGTCTTGTCGAGCTTCCGCCCGGCAAACGTACCATTGCGGCCAAGTGGGTGTTCAAGATAAAATATCGTCCGGATGGAACCATAGAATGCTACAAGGCGCGTCTAGTGGCTAAAGGCTACACTCAGATCGAAGGCATCGACTTCCATGACACCTTTGCTCCTGTAGCCAAATTGGTCACTGTTCGTTGCCTTATTGTTGTAGCCATTAGTCGTGGATGGTATCTGTATCAGCTCGACATCAACAATGCATTCTTGCATGGAGATCTTGAGGAGGAGGTTTACATGAAAATACCTACCGGTTTTGAGGCACCAGGTGACACTAGGGTCTGCCGCCTGCACAAGTCTATCTATGGACTTCGTCAGGCCTCTCGCAATTGGTACCACAAGTTCACCACTGCCCTTTGTTCTCTTGGTTTCGGTCTTCATCTGCGGACCATTCGTTGTTTATTTTTCGAAGGAGGAGCACCTTTGTCGTAGCTCTCATTTATGTCGATGATGTCATCCTGACCGGGAATGACCTCCCTTTCATCACCAAGGTGAAACGCTACTTGGATGACGAGTTCAGTATCAAAGACTTGGGTGATTTGAGTTATTTTTTGGGCATGGAAGTTGGTCGTACACAAGGTGGCGTTGTTCTCTGTCAACGCAATTATACTCTGGATATACTAGAGGCAGCATGTGTTGAGGGTGCTCGTCCCAGTGCTTTTCCCGTAGAACAAAATCATCATTTGACTTGGCCGGCCACAAGTGACGAGATCTTGGCTGATCCTTCCCCCTATTGTCGTCTTATTGGGCGCCTCCTCTACCTCACAGTCACTCGGCCAGACATCACCTATGCGGTCAATGTCTTAAGTCAATTTGTTAATGCGCCTATCCAGTTACACATGGATGCGTCTATCCGCGCTCTACGCTATCTCAAGACTTTCCCAGGTCAGGGTCTTTTCTTTCCCTCTAATAATGATCTCACACTTACTGCTTATTGTGATGCAGACTGGAGTGGATGTGAGCACACTCGTCGCTCTACTACGTGTTACTTCATTTGTTTAGGGACTGCTCCCATCTCTTGGCGGACCAAGAAACAGAGGGTGGTTGCACGTTCCTCTGCTGAAGCCGAATACCGTGCTATGGCTAGCACGGTTAGTGAGATCATTTGGCTCCGCTGGTTACTTACTGAGCTGGGTGTGCCTCACCGTGGGGCTACTCCCCTCTACTGTGACAATCAGGCTGCTCTCCATATAGCTGCCAAACGCACCAAACACGTCGAAATGGATTGTTACTTTGTTCGCGAACGTGTTCAGATTGGCAATATCCTTCCTCTCAAGGTCATTTCTCATCTGCAACTTGTGAACATCTTCACCAAAGGTTCCTACTTTCCAAACTGCATGTTCGTAACCTTCACGCTCCAGCTTGCGGGGGAGTATTAGACAGAGACACGATCGAGAAGCCCATGCATACCGCGAAGCCCACTCATTCGAGCCGACCCGTTGCTGTTGTGTCATACGTATCAGGAAAGGAAAACTTGTTTCCCAGAACCCTAGTTGATTGGGAATGGGGTTCATATATATGTTGTAATCAGCTGCTGCCGAATGAGTTCAATAAGAAATACATCAGTAGCTAGAGAGCTTTCTGCTCTCTCGTGGATTAGTCTCGACACACTGTCGGGGATACCACGTTAAATCGTTGTCTCGCTTCCTAAATCGCGTACTATTTCTCAATTTCAAAATCCGGCATATGCAGGTTTTCGAAATTCCTCAACATCTCTCATTTTTAGTCTTCCTTCCAAACAAGGGACTTCAAAGAAATTTCTTATCTAGTCATCCAAATCCACATCCAGACAACCTCTTCATTCTCGTATCTTAATGTGTACATTGATACGATATAAAAAGAATAAATGTGGTACCATATCAAAGAATCAAGGCGTTTCACCATCTAACTTAACTATAAAATGAAGAGGTAGTCACACTTGTGCATATGTAAACAAGCGAAAAAAACCAAATTGCACTGGAGATTCTATCAACTACCTCAAGTATAAATTAGATAAGTGTTTATAGGTAAGAATTTGGACATGAACCTTGGGCTTTCAACATTGGCCTAAGCTTTCCATAATAACTTGGTTTGAGCATTAAGAAATCAAGTACAAGCTTGATTCCAAAATTTATTTAGTCAATATTAATATATATATATATATTAGAAGCAAGGTTACTGTTCACTAACTTGATATATAATGATACTACAATTCGGTATGATTTTTTTTAATTAAAATTGAGATTGCAATAACTTTATTTTTTATACTTTCCACAGGAGCCCTACTACACTTTAATCTTACAGCATTGGTAGCTTGAGGTACAGATAAAATATATAATAATCTCCTTATAAAAAAATATATATATATAATCTCATTAAAATTGAGATTGCACTTTGGGAGTACAATTCTGGCTATGGATTTTTGTTTTATCGTGAGTTATTTTGTACTTTATTTCAACTGTCTTTCTATTATATTTTAGTTTTAAAGCATTAGTGGTTCGAGGTACAAATTAAACTTAAACCATAATGTTTAACCTCTTCTCTTTCTCCTTAGTTTGTATCTCGATCAATAAATTGGACATTTCTTCTTCTTCGTGTTCTTGAAACTCTTACTAAAGTTACTAGCCACCCTCACATGCATACAACATCAATTAGCTCCAAGAATTATCGTTAAACACTAGGGGGAGGGCACATGAGTGATTAATCTAGGTTTGACATCAATCCACCCGCAAATAACATGAACTGCAGTGGATGGGTGATTGCGAATTGATAAATCTCTTACCCACACTTATTTAGGTATGGAGATATTGAGACTAGTAAGAGCATGATGATTTTAAATTTTTTGAACCTCATTGTGTAAAGAGGGAGAAGGGTTATGCTGGAGTTTGGGTAGTGTATTCTTTTTCCTTATCCGTCATAGTTTTGTCCATTATGTGCTAAATTTGATTCAATTATTTTCTATTTGGCACAATAAGTACTCCATATAAACAACTCACAACATTTGAGTTAATCGACATAAGATATTTAACTTGAAATACATTTGGTTTAAGGATACAGATTACTTGCAAATACTGGTTGAAACACAGACTTTCAAGTCAATTTGTTACTAGCTACATTTCAACCGCAACGAAGTGTGGTCTCCTTTCTAATATAAATATAATATAAATATTAATGACGATTATTGTTTCCTAAGAGGGAGCATTACTTGTGCTTGGTTGTACATTAAGCTTGGCTTTATTGGGCTTGGAGAGAGCCTGTTTTTACTCTATGAATTAAGTTTTGGGTCCTGGTTGCTTGGGTCTGTAGGTCGTTGCCCAATAAGCTTTTAGTCAAGTGGTAGTACCTTTTTTTTGTCCAATCTATCTTTGCTTTACTTGTGGATTGCTATAATGTTTTTTTTTGTGTTCACTAGGTATAGCGATCCCCATTTCAGAGTGGGTATCTTGATACCTATATCCGCTCTCTGGTAGGTTGTGTCAATATTGGTATTGTGTTCTCGGGTGCGGGATTGGGGCAGGTTGACTCATAACGGTATATTTATTGTAATGGAAAGACACTTGATACATTGATTATTCATTAAAATTTTGGTAAATAAACTATAACATGATAAATATAATTAAATTATTAAGAAATTGAAATTTTCATGTATTTAGAACTTTATTATAGCTAAAAATATGATTTCTTAAAAGTAAAATCTTAAGTAATTTCTCGGAAATCACATGCTATCTACAAAACAAAGGATCGATAATGGGGTAGGTCAATGCAGGTTAGGTAAATAATAGAACACATGTCAAATAGGTCGGATAGGATGAATAAGATAAAAAATCAAAATTGCTATTCTTAGTGCTCACAAAGCAAAACACTTATTAGGTTCATTTGCTTGCTGAATATGAGACCCAATGATTGCACCTATTTTTGTATTGGGCTAATACCACTAGAAAACCCGAACTATTAACTTTGTGTCATTTGTGTCCTAGAGTATTCGATATGACATTTGTGTCCCAACTTATGATAATTGTGTGTCATTTATGTCCTGACGGAAGTCAACTTTGACACTTGATACATTGATTTTTCATTAAAATTTTGGTACATAAACTATAACATGATAAATGTAATTAAATTATTAAGAAATTGAAATTTTCATGTATTTAGAACTTTATTATAGCTAAAAATATGATTTCTTAAAAGTAAAATCTCAAGTAATTTCTGGGAAATCACATGCTATCTACAAAACAAAGGATCGATAATGGGGTAGGTCAATGTAGGTCATATCAATAATAGAACACATGTCAAATAGGTCGGATAGGATGAATAAGGTCAAAAATCAAAATTGCTATTCTTAGTGCTCACAAAGCAAAACACTGATTAGGTTCATTTGCTTGTTGAATATGAGACCCAATGATTGCACCTATTTTTGTATTGGGCTAATACCACTAGGAAATCCGAACTATTAACTTTGTGTCATTTGTGTCCTAAAGTATTCGATATGACATTTGTGTCCCAATCTATGATAATTGTGTGTCATTTATGTCCTGGAGGAAGTCAACTTTGACACTTGATACATTGAGTTTTCATTAAAATTTTGGTAAATAAAATATAGTAATTAAATTATTAAGAAATTGGAATTTTCATGTATTTAGAACTTTATTATAGCTAAAAATATGATTTCTTAAAAGTAAAATCTTAAGTAATTTTTCGGAAATCACATGCTATCTACAAAACAAAGGATTGATAATGGGGTAGGTCAATACAAGTCAGGTCAATAATAGAACACATGTCAAATAGGTCGGATAGGATGAATAAGATCAAAAATCAAAATTGCTATTCTTAGTGCTCTCAAAGCAAAACACTTATTAGGTTCATTTGCTTGCTGAATATGAGACCCAATGATTGCACCTATTTTTGAATTGGGCTAATACCACTAGGAAACCCGAACTATTAACTTAGTGTCATTTGTGTCCTAAAGTATTCGATATGACAATTATAGATGACGGTTGACCAGACGAAAGTCAACTTTGACATTGACTTTTGTTGACGTGGCTGCCACGTAGACGCCACATCATTGACACCTCATAATTTTAATTCAAAATTAAATACAAACTAAAAGAATTAAATAAAAAAATAAAATAACTATCCTCTCATCTTTCTCCCCCAGGCCCGCCGCATCCCCTCACCTCTTTCTCACCTGCGATACTCCCTCCCCAGCCGTTCAATCCCTCCGCCACCGCCGCCCTCCCGCTCCCTCCTTTCTCGTCGTCTTCTCAACTGGGGGATCGAGACCCAGGCGTTGAGCAGAGGAAGCAAGGATCTACTGTGACGATTCCCTCTTATCTCCTCTCCCCAATCGCTCTCACCAAACACCCCCTTCACCTTTGTCTCCTCCAATAGATCGACCCAATCAAAAGCTCCACCATCAATCTTCCCATAAAGTCGGCGACGACGGCGGTTGAAGATGCCCCTGTTTCTTCCCATCTCGCCATCGGGGTTTGTTTGGATAAAGGAAAAGGGTAATTGGGTTTTGTTTGGATGAAGGGAAAGATTATGAATTGGGATTGGAGAGCGTCTCATTCACGGGAATTGGAAGAGACGATTCTCGGCTAGGGTTTCTAAGGAGAAGCTGCAAGAAGCTAAAGAAATTAAGCTGATGGAGTCATGTTAAGAGTAGCTGAACACTCCACCTCTTTGAATTCCTTACTCGTTTATGATGGTGGGAGCAGAGATGGATTTCTTCATTTCATCACCAACTCGAAAAGCCAACTCTGGAGCCTCAACTTCCGCCTTGCGTCGAGGACGATGAGTGCTCGATTGCAGGGATGTAAGGAATTCCAGGGTACGCAGCGTATGGAAAGAAAAGAGAAGGCGATGAAACCCTGGCATCAAGAGATTCAGGAGTTGAATCCAGGCGGCGTTGAATCAAGGCGACGATTGTGTTTGAAGAGACGCGAGGAAGATGAAGGTGAGGCTGCCATCAGTGCTTTTTTTAATTTCCTTTTGGTAGTTTATTATTTTTATGGGAAAATAAATATAATAAAATTTCACGTCAGATGTCACATCAGCGCTGATTAGGCTTTCTGTTAAAAACTAACGATCAACGCCAGTCAACTCTAACGGAAAAATAGTTTAGGACACAAATGTCATATCAGATACTTTAGAATACAAATAGCACAAAGTTAATAGTTCGGGTTTTCTGGTGGTATTAGCCCGTATTTGAAAAGTAAAAGAACTAGTGATATATTTGGTTAATCATGAATTTTTTTTGTTTTGTTTAAACATTGGATTTCGTCATGAGTTTTATTGTTTTGAATTTGGAGGATACTAGAACAATAACATAATTTTTTTTATCAAATTCTAACTCAAGGTGTGGGCTTTTCAATCCATTCATCAAGTCCATAAATGGTATTTCAAATTTTAAATCCACGAGACTCACAAAATTTAACCTAAAAATTAAATCTACTAAATAATGAATTTGGACAACCCCGTGTTATAAGACCACTAAAAGCACAATATTCTTTACTATTTTTATTTATATTTAAGAACCTGCTTGGTAGAAATATACGGGAGCGGATCAGGTCAGTAACCCATATGGTGAGTAACCATCAGTAACATGTCCACATCTGCATGACATCAGCATGCCCTCTCTCCAGAAAAGTCTTTAATCTTTTCTCCTTTAATATTTAATGGACGATTTCTCTCTCGTTTTAGGTCGAAATTTTTTTTTTTTAACAGATAACAGATTAAATGTGCTCTTTAAAATGATATCCAATTTGATATATTTTTAGTACAAAAAAATTTGAATACTTTTTTACCAGTCATTACCATATGGTATGCTCATATTTAATACCATATGGTAAGAAAGCGTACCATGATGGTATGAACATACCTATATGGTAAGAAGGTTGAATACATGATAGTAGAAGTATACTAACTGTCATTTACGACTTTCATCATTGTTTACCACAAGTTACCACAAACCATAGTGGTAAAGTATGATAATTTTTTGTCCAGTATTTTTTTCACCCAGAAATTTGTAGATCCAATAGATCATGATGAACTCGTTCCTTCTGAGCAAACGTTTTCAAAAACGACTTAAAAACGAAGAAGTTATCATATGATATGTAGTTGGTAAAAAAAAGTTTCTCGAAATATATTGAAAATTGATCTCATTTTGTAGGGCACAACGAACTCGTTCTATGTGTGCAAAAAAATTGAAATCCGAGTTAGAAAGAACAAGATAAGAGTCGATTATGAAAACTAGAGAAAATAAAATGTCTTTAATTGACAACCCTTAGATCTGGATTTTCTGGGCATACTTAAATCTAAAGGTCCAGATTTAGTTACTCATAGGTCAATAACCAATGGTTACTGACCCTATCCTAATATACACGGTAGGCTTACAAAGAACGACCTTCAAACAGACTTATCACTCTAGTACTTAATTATGAGTATAAATATTAGTTGTGATGATCCAGAGCCAGTATTAGGTGAGTAATACCGGGAAGGGTATTGCCCAAAATCATATATATATCCTACTCTTTTTTCTCTCCAAATAAGGTTTGTACAATACGTAGGAGCACTTCTACTATGCTATATAGTATTGGTGCTTTAATGTAAAGTTGTACCATAACATTAAATGCATAAGTTTAGGTTGTACCATAAAGCAATTTGTACCATTATGTTATGGTACAACTTTACAACTTGAAGTTGTACCATCACATAAAAGTACAAGTTCAAGTTGTACCATAAAAGAATTTGTACAAAAAGTATAGGTACAATCTGAAGTTGTACCATAAAGGCAAAATCCTATAGCACCAATACTATATAGCATTGTAAAATTTCTCTACGTAGTCCTAAATTAAGGATTTTAGACTTAATGTGCATTTATTAACAATGTTTATGATTTCCGTTTACGCGAGTCCAATGAGAATGAAGTATGATTTGAATTTAAATGAATTTGTTAAGACTTTTTATGAAGAAAGAAATCACGTTTTTTCAAAATTTTACGGTTCTTGTTATGATTAATAGTTGGATAATGCTTTTTTAGTAAAAGTAATGTCTGATCATATTAGAGGTTACATTCATCAAAATCATATACATACCCTACCTTTTTTCCTCCGAAATCGGGTATTACCTACTTGACCATAAACTAGTCAAAATGGGTAATCATCCATATTGATCGGGTGACCAGGAGCAGGGTACCATGATTTCAAATTCCATTACCATCCCTAGGATATGATACTAATTAAAAGGTGATTAAGTCAGTCACAGTGATCAAGCATCGAGTCATTATATGCCAAAGAACATCAATCATTCAAATCAAAAAAAAAAAAAGAACATCAATCATTCACCAACAAAATAGCCAAAATAAACTTTTAACTTACGGACTATGTAAATGCATTTTTACTATAACAATTCGTAGTGAAAATTTGACCACCCAACCAATTATTACATAAGTAAAGGGAACCAAGGAAAAAAAAGGTCAAGTCTCAAATGTGACGGAGTATGATATGATGGATAGAAAAACACGTAGAAAATGAAGATTCTGGACTATGTAAGTTGGTTTTTTTCCCAACTATTTTTGTTTTTGCCCCATGCTTTTATCCATTCTAACCTTTTTAACCTTTTATCGACACAAAAATGTTGTAAACCCATTTGTCAAAATTAGGCCTAAAGTACTACAGTAGTACTACTATCTAGTCTGCTACAACAATTTTGTGTGGACATGAATGAATGAGATGCAAGGGAAGAGAAAAAGAGCTGTTTCAGGATGTAACATGTCATCTCCTCTCAAGATCCCAAAACAACCCTTCAACCAAAAAGCATAGCATATGTTAATGTGGTCACATGCTCATCACCACAGATGATACAGACAGCTCCATGACATTCCCAACTCCTTTATTAATTACTTTTGTTTTAGCTTTTATTAAAACAACAATATATGTTGCAAATGTAAAGTCCCAATCTCACAAACCCAAATTTTGTTTCTCCTTAATGGGACCTCAAAGTAATCCAAAATTGGTCCAGGTTACCCTGGAACTCATGTTCTTGGAGAAAAAATAAAGAGTTTAAAAAGTACAACCCGCCATACTTATCAAAGCCACAATATGGAACCCTTAGCTTAAGTTGGTAATCAACTACCAAGACTACAAAGATTAAGCCTCTTTCCTTAACTTATTCAAGATGGGAACATAAATAAGTATACATGTTTATCCTAATAAGGTCCCAACATGGCCACTTGAATCCCAAGAAAGTTTGGCCAATTGACACTCAGATTACAGATTTCAGAAGTGTACAAGGGCTCTAATATTGTTGTAATCATCATTGGCTTTTCTTGTTAAGTGGGCTTAATAAAGGAAATTTTCCCAGATACAGGACAAGTGGGTGGATTGCAACCACACAAAAGTTCATATTTCCCTTTTTATTCAATGTTGCTTTTTATTCAATGTTGTGACTTGTGAGTAGGGATGTTGACTAGTTATGAGTCGGATATGGGGTATGTGGCAGTATGATTTTTATTTCTATTGTTTCATATTCGTCCTACTAAGAGTATTTTTCAAATATGAAAACATAGATATCAAATTGTAATCTATCAATGAAAAAAAGGGTAATTAAAAAAATAAAGAGCTGAAATGTAACTAAGTGATCACCCAAACCAAACTTTAATTTCTTTCCATCAATTTCTCTCTTCACACCTTCACTTCTTTTTCCCTTTAACAAAATTATATGTGTCGGAGTCGTAGATGAATGATCGATTTGAATAACATTGTATATTTTCTTATGGATTAATGGATGTTTTAGGAATGAATGCGCTGAAGTCGCAATAAAATGGTTGTATCTTGTTGATTTCACGATTTATTAGGTAGTGTTATCACTAATATCTCCATGTCGAACTTTAGATAGTAACGTTGGATGTATGCGGCGACGGGTATTACCCTTGAGTACCCGAAAATCGTAGAAATGGTCAAATAGAGATGATAATGCAAAACCTCCTCGGCATTGGTATAGAACATGTATGGATTTGAGTATTTGAAAATAGGGATGTGGATAGTTTAGAAACATCCGTCCCATTGTCATCCCGACTAGATCAGATACCCCATACCGCTTGAAGGATGACAACAGGAGATACTATTACCTTAACATGAAACTTAGTCCTATGGGGTCAATTACATAGTCGTCATGAAACTTTGTGATCAAGTTGTTCTATCAATTGTTCCAAACTTAGCGATGAGTTCATTAGTTAAAGTTCAGTCACACATTTGTTAGTGATCAGAGTTTGGTGATCGTTTATGTAATAGACCCACCCTATTAATAATGCAACTATAGCAATAATAAAGGCAGAAGAAGTCGCCATCCAACGCCATAATCAATGTTGGAGGTCGCTGTTCCTGCTATATCCTTTTCCCCCCATGTGCAGTGGTTGATGGCAAAGGAGAAAGAGAGAAAGAAAACTCAAACACTTAATATTTACTTTTTTTCTTGTGTTGCTATGTTGAATTATTGGATGGATCACCTTCTTTTTATCCCACCAACTTTTACCTCTTGTGCTTTACTTGAAAGACTTCTCCCAGTTGGGTATGTCTTGTTTGGATGGTAAAGTAAATGGTTCAAATGGAATAACAAGCTCCCCCTTTTGTTACTTGCATAAATAACAAGTAAATTTATTTGAGATTTTACTTACAATTTGGCGTGGTAAGTAAGACATTTTATTATACTAGCTTATAACCCCGCCTGTTGGTTGAAATGTTTATATTAATTTTTATTATTTTTTATGTTACGTTAAAGTCTTCAGCATATTTGATAATCTTTCGATCGATATGATACATAAAGAAAGAATATATAGGTCGAACATTTAGAAAAATATCATCATCATTTGAGAATATAAAATATAAAAATGTATCATTGGTCTCATTTTCATAATGATAAATAAGCACAGTTAAAATGTTATTAGTTAGTTGATTGTTAAGAAAGAGTATATATGGTTCAATGCTCTCATTTTGGGGGCAATAAGCCACTAATAAAAAAAAATGTGAGTTGTATATTCAAATCAACTATATACTAACAACTCAGCTAAGAGGGGACCATCAAAACTCGAGAGCAAACGACAAAATTGGGTTACCTCCAATATATTAATAGACTCGATCAAAGTAATTAGACGCAAAATTAGACACTCCTTATCTATCAGTTCAAGTAGGTTGAATAAAGAATCGACCTCCCTCATTAAATCAATAAATGATTTCTCGTTTTAAGATATAAATATTGTGTGGTAGCTTCAAAAACCATAAACCTAAAGATCCAATAGCCACCACTCTCCATTGAACGATCAATTTTTTGTTCTACTCTATCTTCAATTTCAAGAAGCATATGTTTCAACCAAATATTCACTTTCTAATCCTTCTGCAACTCTATTCTGTTACTTTGATGGACCTTTTATTTGAGACCGTCAATTTCTCTTCCAATTGGGGTCTTGTCAAATCGCTCTTCAACTCCTCAATCCTCTTTCT